GATGTTATAAGTTGCACTGAGTAAATACAGCTGGATAAAACAAAAACTGTGTCTGTCTTACTTTCAGGCTGCAAAGCAACAAAATTAGATTATTTTAAAGGGGGGTGATTCTTTTCTATACCCACTGTATTTATGGGCAGGTAAAAAACCTAGGGTAGGTCTCAAAATGTTGTAGTTAGCCAAAGAAAAGGAGGGGGGAGGGGGGATGCTACTCTTCTCTAAGAGATTATTACTTCACAGCACAGATGAGAGTCATGATATGTTGGTGTAATCCATTAAATGAGGCCCAGTGGAAAAACAGAGGAGAAAATATCCTCCACCCATACAGGCAATCCTAGCTGATAGTAACTTATAATATCATATAAGTACTATTGATAACCCATGGGCAAAATATGCAAATCTTTTATAAAAATATAAATTAGAGGGATATAAGGTGCTTTTCAAATGGTGTGCATATGACTCAGATTTTATGAAAAATAGATTAGATACTAGATTTAGGAACTGGACAGCTACAGGAATAACAGTTCTATGTAATATATTAAAAGGAGACAACCCAGATTTGAAACACATAGAAATGTTACTAGAAACATGGGACTTCTATTGGTACCTACAGATACGAGAACAAAACATCTAATAGATCTGTTTAGAAAAGCATATAACTCATATATTGATAGAATTATCTCATGTATATATATATATAAAAAATTGTTAATTCTGAAAATGCATTCAACCTCTTATATTATATAAGAATAACTATATCTGAGGAAGAATGGAAATTAATGTGGAGGAATCAATGGAAATGCACCAGTTCACAGAAATGGACAGAATTTAGCTGGAAAAATCTGCTAAGATATTTTGTTACACACTCTCAGAAATGTTAGTAAGAATGTTAGTACCACTGCTGTTTGCTGGAAAAACTGTGGGAACCTAAATATATAACTATCCAGCTATAGATTCACAACACTTTGCAAGATATTTGTAAATGTGTAATGCCACTAGAAGATAAGACCTTTAAATATTTACCACATTAATTGAAAAAAATAGATATTTAATGAATATACTGTTGGTGTCTACCAAAAAGGCTCTCACCAGGAAATGGTTTGTCACAGAAAAGTCCAACTATAAATACATTGATGGAAATTGTAATGGATATTTACAAAATGGAAAGGTAACAGCATTTATTAACTGAGAACTGGAACTGTTCACATTAAAATGGGAAAAACAGGTTAACTATGAAACATCCCACAGGACCAATTTTATTTTTACAAGCTAATGTTCATGATGTACAGAAAGATCACTCCCTATGTACATTGTTTGTTTTTCTTTGTTCTTTTCTATGCACATATTCTGATGAATGCTACTCTCAGGTGTGTGGTAAATATGAATGTATGACACACACAACATCTGAAATCTAAATGTTTACCCAATGTTGAATCTCAGTGAAAAAATAAATGACAAGAAATGTCTTTACTGTCACATTTGATTAATTTAATGTGTGCTTGCTGAATAAAAGTATTGATCTCAAACATTAAAAAAAAAAAAACCTCACCCAAACCAAAACTTTTGAATGGTAGTGCATGAAAAGAAAATGAACTTACTGTTCATCATAGGATGAATCTGACACCTGTAGCACAGAGGCCTGGAAATCTTGGATGACAGTCTGAAATGACAGGTAGTAACATTTATTGCATAATACATGTTATGAATGCACTTCAGTTGGTTCAGTAACTCTCCTCTATGATTCCTAGTTCTGGTGACTTACATTACACATATAGTTATGCCATGAACGGTTAACTTGAGGTAGTTTCTCTTTCTTCTTCCAACTGGCTGGAGTTCCTTCACGAACTGAATCCTTTCATGACAAAACACTGACATTAACTTTTCTTTGAACATTTCAACTACTCCCCACTGCCTCAAAAATGTAATGAGCATCCCAACCTCCAAACAGAGATGATAATATGACTGAAAAGAATGAACTTGAGCAATCCTCACCTTTGATGCAATCACATACGGAGGCACTATTTCAACACCTAACTCTTGAAATAGCTCTCTACATTGCATACTCATGAAGTCACCAGCAAGAGGAGACTTTACGATGCCTGGAAGATCATAAAACATACATTATAGAAATATCAAAAACATATATAAAATATTTTAAATTACATTATTTATTATTCATAGATAAAATAAAAAATAAATATGTAAATAGACAAAGTAATGAATGTAAATTATATATTGTACTAATTATACACAATTCAACTTCAGCATTACATGATTACATTATAGAAATTAAAACAAATAAATAAATAAAAAGTGCCTTTGTTTTTACAAAGTGTTTAGAATTACCTTGTTGTAGGACATAACCATCATGCACTGGAATAGCAGTTGTGTGTGTTGCTCCACTATCTAGCACTAAACCTGTGGACCGTCCATTGGCAAACCTGGAACGCTGAGTAAAGGATTTAACACTTTATGTATTTTCCTCTCATAAGATGCTTTAAAATGGATATACTGCCCAAATTTGCCATTTAAATCAATTAATGTCATTCCTTTTGACTGTATATGCATTAACCACCAATAAAGAAATTAAAAATCAGTGGTTCTCAACCTTTTTGACTCCAAGGCCCCCCTTGTCCACAACAATATTCAGGCCCCATGACCTCTCCAGCTGTTTATGGTTTACTGGATAAGGATTTTAAAATATTTTTTACTCTCAATTACCTCCCATTAAATTTTTAGAGCTTGAAAAATGTATATTTATCATTAAAATGCCCATGGATTTTATTAAAGACATTTAAAATGTTTTTTCCAGGTCTAGAAATAACATCAAAGAAATAGCTACCTCATGCATCTAGAATGGTCTTAAAAAAAGGGGGGGGGGGGGGGGGTAACTGGCGTTACTTATTTGAAAAAGTAACTCGGATATCTTCTTGTAAATTAAAAAGTAATGCATTACTTTACTAGTTACTTGAAAAAAGGTAATCTGATTACGTAACTCGCGTTACTTGTAATGCGTTACCCCCAACACTGGTAACTAATGTGTACTTTTAAAGTACTAAAATGTACCTTTTAGGGATAAATAAGTTACAAAGATGTAACCTTTAACTTTTGTACCTTAGGGTACCGCCCCAGTGACAGCTTCGTACCTTTTTTGAGAGGGTTTTAAAAAAAAGGGGGGGGGGGGGGGTTGAGGGGGTGATATAAGAAATATCTAAATTATAAGTTGTTTTGGCTTATTTTAATGCTTATTTTGTCTTTTTAAAAATGATTTTAAGTAATCTCTAGGCCCTCTGGTTAAAAAAAAAAAAAAAAAACTGTTCTAAACGCAAGACATTGCCTTACACAAAGATTTGAATCTTCAGCCAGCCAATTAAAATAAAGGATACGCAGACAGGACGGCCGATTTACACAAGAAGAAAGCAGGAATGTTGTAATGCTCAAACATTAGCTCAGTCAGCTTCTCTCTCTTTGCTCGTGTGTTCCACTACAAGATGAAGAAAACAAGATCACATAGTCAAGTTGAAGAATCCCAGGAAATGGCACATGTATGATATAATCTGTAGATTGAATTTATGTCAGAAAATCAACATACCGAGGCCTCTGACATCAGGACTGGATGCAGACTGGGCTCTGATTTGAAGTGCATTTTGTAGGTGTGATCTAAAATGGCTTGGAAACTGTCCCAGTCCTCAACTTCAGAAAAAAGAAAAAGAAAATGTGTGTTAAAGCAGGAATATATATATATATATATATATATTAGGGTATCGATTCAGATGTCCCGATTCGATTCGATTCAATTTCCTATTACATCCAGTGAATATAGTTTTAATACAAATTAGGGGTGGAACGGTTCAACTTACTCACGGTTCGGTTTGTATCGCGGTTTTAGGGTCACGGTTTCAGTATGGTT